AAAATAGAGAGGGAAGAAACACCCCGCCCCCGCTACCACACCCCCCACCCCCCCCAGCAGCAGCAGCGCACACACACACACAACACACACAAATATTTTGTACTCACAGAACAGGAAGACATGTACCCTGTATGTGCTGATACCAGAGACAGGACCGAGTGCGCGTTTGTTTCTATCTTTTTTTGTTCTCTGGTTCCCTCTAGTGGCCTTTGTGTGTTAACGCGATAAAAATGCATTGGAATTATTTTACCGTCTCATGGTGACGTGATGTTTTACATGTTTAAGGCAGGCTTAATACCAGGACCAGGACTACTCCTGGTCCTGATATCCCTGGTATCAAAATCGTCTTTTTAAATCAACTTAATTAGGTAAGTTAAAAAGTCCAGCCATCTGAATCTGAACCAACTAAATCCTATATTTGTTTAAAGACTAAAGTTTCTTTAGAACAGCTGTAGCAGTCGGCTGGTGTATACTTCCACAGTCTAAAAAGTAAGGGTCACACACAGTTAAGGCTTGGGATTTTAAGGCGCCGTAATTGCGCAGAATGACCTGTAGATGGAGCTCAATGACCACACATGACAAAAGACTGATGCACTCCGACTATGCGCCATAGTTCATAATCGCAAAGCAAACATTTAAAAATAATGTTCATAGTATATATTTTTTCTGTCGCTATTTTAAGACTGTATTCTTTAATTCTGCTTCTTGATTACGAATCTAGGAGTTGACAGAAATTTGGTAGACAGGATGCTGAAAATGAAGCTTGCAGAAAGTAGAAAAAGGTTAAAAAATAGACCATAACTGTAATTTTATAAAACTCTGTCAGTTTCATTAAACGTGATGGTAAAATTGGCATTCCGATTCATCCTTGTTCTTATTTCCAACGACCGAGTGTATCCAGTAGAGGGAGCCACAGGTCTATAAATGAACAGATTGTTTAATTGATTTTGTGGTGAGACAAAGGTCAGTTTTACCTGATTATATAAAAGTCCCAGTAAATTGATAGAACTACAATAACAGAGTATTTCTTTTTTCTGGCTGGACCTTTAAAGGTGAATAAAAGTGTGTGTATTCAGCCTTGGTAAAGTATGACAGAAACTCTTTAAAGAGTTGAGGAGCGGGTCACGGTCGGGTGAATGCTGAGCGGTAGAAAAAGTAATGACTGTCTATCTGTCTGACAATGGGGTGAGAGAAGGCGATAGGGGGCGGATGAAACTGGTTTAATGCCCGGTGTAATGCATGTTAATATGCGGCCACAGAGGGGCCGCCGGCCGTAGAGCTTTGGGATTATTTATTTAAAAAAAAAAAAAAACAACAAACATTTGTATTCTTCCGTCGGAGGAGGCTTGATCCCGGATAGCTGCACACTAATCCTTCACTCCGTTAATTAAAAAGACAGGGAAAGCAATGGTGATTTTTTTTCTGCCTTCTTTTTCAGAAATGTAATCATTTCTGGAGGAGCTTAACCATCTGCTGGAGGTTAAGTCTGCCAGCAGATTCTGTATTCTATTTAAACCTGAGGATTTCTGTTGTTTTTCTTCCTGGAGAGTGGAGGGCGGTGCGTTTAAAGGCCTGGTTGTTGGGCAAGTGGGTCAGGAGTAACTGTTAGCTCGAGGAACAGTAGAAGGAGTGCTTGATCTGTGGCCATATTAGACATGAGTGTTGTTGCGGTGCAGAGAACAATGTGGCCCACAGAGAGGAGAAGTGGTTCTTTGGTGTTCTACTAACAAGCCCAGCACTGGCCGCTGGCTAAACCTGTGTCGTCAGTCCCAGAATTTTCAAGGCACATTAGGATGCTGGTCTGGTCTGTGTGGAGCTGAACCTAAATTCACAAAGGCATCATTTAGTCTCTCTCTCTCAGCCTTGAGGCATTGGTTAGTTTGGTCTCTTCTTCCTGCCACTGTAAACAAACCATCACCTAAATGTAACATTTCGTTAATCCCGTCTGTAATACCTGATTACAGACAAGTGTGATGGAGTCTTCATGACACTGCTTTTATGTTGATTGTGTTTTGTTGTTATGCTGATACACGTTCAGACCTTTACTCTGGAGAATTAAAGTCGTGTAATACCCAATACACCCGCTCATCGTTGCCACTATAATCGCTTTAATCTCCAAAATGTCGCTCGTAGATATTCAAACCTTTAATGAAATGAAGTATCCCGACACTGGTGGGGCGTTTGGGTGAAATCTGACAATCTGGTCTTCGGTTGTTCAGTGTAGTAAGAGGTTATGGTTTAAACTTTAATTTTAATGAGGCCTCATCAAAAGGCAGAGTGATGATCAAACCTGCATGAGTGAAATATTGAATATTCTGACATGACATGGCAGTGACTATCTCTCCATCCTCGACTTGTGGACAAATCCTCGTCTGCCTGGAGAACCCACAACATCGTTTCTCCTCTAATCCCAATCTTTTCCTGACGTCTGGTGTCAAACTGTTAAAAGGAACAGACACCGGGATGTGAACGGGTTAAATGTCTACAGTAATTAGAGTCGCACTTCGCGACGGAGTCCTCCAATACGGAGCTGCGAGGAGATACGTCCAATCTCTCCCACCCCCTCTTTTCTGTCGCTCTCATTCTCTAACACCCCCGAATCCCCCCCCTCTCTCCCTCTCTCTCTCTCTCTCATACACACTCGCCTCCAACTCCTTCGAGTGTCAAATACGCTAGAAAATCAAAAGCTGGCGTTCACACACCATCCGTGTTGCGCTTGGAGCACAGCAGAGGGAGGACTGACTGCACTCTCACTCACTCTTTCTTTCTCTCTCCCCCCTTAGTGAACATTTCATTAAAGTAAACTTCAAATATAATTATTACATTAAAGTAAACTTCAAATATAATAATAATTATTATTTTTTTTTACAAACTTTGCAAGATATCAGTTTTCAGGATCGATTTCTACATTTCCACCACCGAGTGGCTTCCAGAAGAGAGGGATGTCTTGGTGAGGTGCTTTTACGCACGCTGCTCAAATGGATCACAGACACTCCAGAGGCAGCTGGGTACCTGTGACTGGGCTGGTCATATGTCTGCTTCTGTGTGCCTGTGTTGTGGACCTGGTTCTTGCGCAAATTCGGTACTCGATCCCCGAGGAGCTGGACCACGGAGCGTTTGTTGGCAACATCGCCGAGGACCTGGGCTTGGATGTGGCCAAGCTGTCCGCCCGTCGGTTCCGTATAGTCTCCGGTGCCAACAAACAGTATTTAGAAGTGAACTTAGAGAACGGTATCCTCTTTGTCAACGAAAAAATCGACAGAGAGGAGCTGTGTGAACGGAGCCCGAACTGCTTTTTACACCTACAAGTGGTCATCGAAAACCCATTAGAACTGTACCGGGTGGAAGTGGAAATTTTAGATGTAAACGACAACTCTCCCAGTTTTCCGTGGAGCGAGTTCAACCTGGACATCACTGAGTCGGCAGCGCCCGGCTCCTGTTTCCCGCTGGAGAGCGCGCAGGATCAGGACGTTGGCACCAACTCTCTGCGCTCCTACCAGCTCAGCGCGAATGAGCACTTTGTGCTGAACATCCAGACGCGCAACGATGGCAGCAAGTTTGCCGAGCTGGTGCTGGACACACCGCTGGACCGGGAGCAGCAGAAAAAACACGAGATGGTTCTGACAGCCTTTGACGGCGGCTCACCAGAACGCTCCGGGACGGCGGTGATAACTATTACGGTGCTGGATGCCAACGACAACGTGCCTGTGTTTGACAGATCCGTGTACCGGGCAAGTCTTGTGGAGAACGCACCGAGAGGGACCATGGTGGTGAAGCTGAACGCCACAGACATGGATGAGGGATCTAACGGAGAGGTGACCTATGCGTTCAGCGGCCACGCACCGCTGAGGGTGCGGGAACTGTTCAGTGTGGACCCGTACACCGGTGAAATCAGAGTGAAGGGCATCGTGGACTATGAGAAAGACAGCGTGTACGAGCTGTATGTGCAGGCAAAAGACCGGGGACCGTCGGCGGTGGCTGTCCACAGTAAAGTTCTGGTGGACATCCTGGATGTGAATGACAACGCGCCCGAGGTCATCCTCACTTCAGTGTCCACCCCTGTCCAGGAGGACGCGCCGCCCGGCACAGTGATAGCTGTCATTAGTGTCATGGACCGAGATTCTGGAGAGAACGGGAACGTTGACTGTCAAATCCCGAACAACGTTCCCTTTCAGCTCCATTCGTCGTTTAAAAACTATTACACTTTGGTGACGAGCGAGTTCCTCGACAGGGAAACTGTGTCCGAGTATAACATCACCCTCACTGCCCGCGACTTAGGGTCTCCTTCACTGTCCACCAGGAAAACCATCCTGGTCCAAGTGTCTGACATTAACGACAACCCGCCGCGGTTCTCCCAGCCTTCGTACACCGTGTATGTGACTGAGAACAACGCCCCGGGCGCTTCGATTTGCTCCGTCACTGCGTTCGACCCCGATTCTAACCAGAACGCCTATCTGTCCTACTCCATCCTGGAGGGCGAGATCCAGGGCATGCCAGTGTCCACTTACGTCTCCATCAACTCTGACAACGGCAACATTTACGCACTGCGCTCTTTTGATTATGAGCAACTTAGAAACTTTCATATTCTGGTGCAGGCGCAGGACGCGGGCTTCCCTCCGCTGGCGAGAAATGTCACTGTCAACGTCTTTGTCTTGGACCAGAACGATAACGCACCTGTTGTCGTATCACCGATGCCAAAAAACGGCACCGTAGCCACAGAGGTGGTCCCACGGTCAGTGGACGCTGGGTATCTTGTGACCAAAATAACAGCCTTAGACGCGGACGGAGGACAAAACTCCCGGCTGTCCTACCAATTGGTGCAGGCGACGGACCCGGGACTGTTCAGCGTGGCTCTGTACACGGGCGAAATTCGAACCATTCGCAGATTGGCGGACAAAGACGCAACAAGGCAGAGACTCGTCATATTAGTCAAGGACAATGGCCAGCCGCCGCTCTCTGCCACTGTGTCTATTGTGCTCACAGTGGTAGACAGTGTGCCAGAGTCGCTGTCAGATTTTGGAGACTTCACTCTCAGCCCACAGCCGCCCTCAAACCTGGCTCTCTATTTAATCGTATCACTGAGCACAATATCGTTAATATTCTTAGTGGCCATCATCGTGCTGGCAGCGATTAAGTGCTACAAGGACAGAGAGACCCTGAGCGGCTACAACCTGCCCCCCTTTGCCTGCTGCTGCTGCGGAGGGTTTCAGCCTGAGCCGCCGCCGGAGGTGTTCAAAAAATCCAACATCAACCTGCAGATTTCCTCCGCTGCCAAAGTGCCCACGAACTGTATGGAGGTGAATGGAAATAGTAGTCTCTCACAGTCATATTGTTATAAAGTGTGCCTGACCCCCGAATCTGCAAAAAGTGACTTTATGTTTCTGAAGCCGTGCAGCCCCAGCATCACACCGAGGAACAACGAGGCGAAGAGCGCAGAAAACTCCTGGAACGCACAAAGCCGGAATGCATCTGTGAACAACGGAGCCACGACACCTAATGAGGTATCCAGCCAGAGCAGAGAAAGGCAAAATAACACTTAATCCTAAAAAATAAAAAATAAAATCTCTAGATGTGTCAGACGCATAAACATCGAAGTTGTTTTTTTTTTTCTGACAAGCATCGGGAGTGACATTCTCCCAGGAAGGTCAAATTACGCACGGCATAACCAGCAAAAAAAACAACCAAAAGCACGCACGTCGTGTTATTAACTTTTTTAATTCCGTGTCTCTAACATCCCCTCCTCAGCGTTTATTAATTATGGAAGCATTTTTATCTCAGCTCCGCCGCCGATGGCTCTGTTTTACACGCTGCAAATGAAACCAGAGGACGTGATATTTCATTCTAATTGACTTGTTACTGAGAATGTGAAGCTTTGTTTTGCCAGGAGCGTGTTTTTCTGCGCGACAACCGTGTCTGTGAAATAGAAGATATCAATTACTGCGTGGACGGGAGAGAGGAGATAATGATACTTCAAAAACTTCATGATAATAATGTTTCCAAGAGTGATATCTGCAGCGAGCAGTGTGGTTGCTGGGTCTTTTTTTTATCTCTGTCTATATCTGTCATCCCCTCTCCCTCTCCCTCTCTCTTTGCCTGAGTGTGAGAGTGAGAGAGGGAGAGAGGAGGGAAGGGAGGGAGGAGACAGGGAGAGAGAAAGAGACCTGAGCTAAAAGTCAAGGTTACACGTCGGACAAGGTGAATGGCAGTGGTTCATTCATCAGCCTTGGCCGCAGACAATTTTTGCCCTTTCAGACGCACGCCTCCTTGTTCTCATACTAACAATACAGGACAGACAACCTCACTTAGTGCCTCAAGGGCAAGAGCACGTCCGAACCATTACTACACACACAATGTGGCAAGTACAGGGAGGCGGGGAGGGCTGTCCATTATTGATGAAAAATGGCAAATGGCCGGTTTTGGGAGACAGGGGAGGACATGGAGAGGGGAGGGCGGGGATGGTGGGGTAAAGAGAGAAGGACAGGGTGAGAGGACGTGATTGGGAAGAGACGTGTTACGCTTGTAGATGGACCACAGCGTTGCCCTCGGAGTGTAAGGAGGGAGAGAGAGGTGATTCATTGTGGTGTTAAGACTGGCAGGAGAAAGGCTGNGGGGTGGAGGGGTGGGGGTTACTGAGGCAGACTGCTTTCTAAGTCAAATGGATGGGGCTGCAGAACGAGCGCTAATAGCTCATTCATTTTCACAGAGAGGCAGAGGAGGCGCAGACTCCCAGTCCTGACAGTGGCAGACTGCAGGCAGACTGAGAAATGTCAGCTCGGTCACTGCGTGGCATTTACTGTACACACCACCGGCCACCAGAGGGATTTCGAGGTCAGGGTGATTTTTTTTTCTGCCTGCAGCAATTTATGCTGCTTCAGGGGAGAGAGTGTCCTTCCTGTCGTTAATTGGCTCTCCTAATTCACCTCGTGGTGTCCCTCCTCGGCGAAGCCACGTGAGTCCTCCCGAGGTCAACGGTGACACATTAAATCTCAAACTGACAAATTGCACGGAGAAGGATCTGAGGTTAGAGCAGCTCGTCAGTGAAGTTAATGAGCTGAATGTGGAAATATAACCAGTCAAACATGACTAGAAACTCGAAGCTGCAAGGACCACGAACTTTTGTCCACGCATTCTTTGGTAAGATTTTAATTAAAAACCTGGCTAGAGGAGCATCTGCCCAATAATAATGTAAAATGATGCACAAAACCCACGAAAACGACGCGTGTAATGCTCTTAATTTCCTCCCTGGCACGACTCCCTTTGAAGATTAAAATCATCTCTCTCTTTTCATCCCGGTGGGGTTCTAATTGGCTGTGTGTGTAGTTGGCATGGGGTGTATTTGGAATACCAATATCATAATGCGCTCATTACATGGCAGTCTACTTCTTAAGCACGTCATCGGGATTAATAGACAACGGAATCCATACCAGGAGACACTTACCAGGAACAAACTTCACTGTTACCCTGTCAGCCAGTCTCCACCCTCCACTGCATGGAATGAAGGCTAAAGTCAAAAGTCTCTGGCAGCACAGCAACACAGCTCTAGAAAAAAAACAAAACAACACAGCTCTGTCAAACCACCACAGGGCGGCAGCCAAGATCCATCTAAAAACAATCACGTCTCCATTTCAGGGCTAACACAATGATTGAACATGAGTCTGACCTCTGCTGATTAAGGACGGCAGAATGGACACGGTTGCTGCCAATCGGTTTAACTGAAACCTGATGTCAGAAGACACTTTGTTTTTCTATCTATCTATCTATCTATCTATCTATCTATCTATCTATCTATCTATCTATCTATCTATCTATCTATCTATCTATCTATCTATCTATCTAAACTATATGAACATATATATGTATGTACAGTATATTTATCCATACATGTCCCTCTCTCTGCAGCTGAAGCAGCCCAATACAGACTGGACACTAACAAAAAATCAGAACTCTTCCATCAAAAGGTAAAACTCTGAACCCTAATTATTAATAACTAGATATTTAACATCATTATCATTGAAAATGTTGTCATTAAGTCTGGGTTGACTGATTACTAGATTCAAAATGTGATTTCCCTATCAGACATGCTGTATACAGTAAGTGATGCGTGTTGATTGGTCTGGTCTGGTCTGCAGTTACAACTCCATCAACATGGACGACACACTCATGCACAAGGCCATACATGCAGACCCAGAAAACTACGTCACCTCCATGGCACCTGGACAGTACTGGACCTGGGGTACTCGCATAAGAGGAACAAAAGGTAAATGGGCAAAATGCAGTGGACCCTGAAGAGCTGTAGGGTAGACACAGTGGGTCGGAAAGTCACCGCCACTGATGACCTCATGTCAGGGTTGTCATTCTCCACATCACTTCTCACCTTCTGCCTCACTCTACAGAGTATAAGAAGTCTCCTTCACCCAGTGGGGTCACACCTCGCCCATGGACACCCAGGTGTACACCCCCACCACAGCAGCAGCAGCCGTCGGCCCCCTCCCACACTCACCCGCACCCTCCGCCTGACTACCACCATAATGTATATATCCCTGGGACACCATCAGGATTTTGCACCCTGAGGCCCACTGCACAGCGGAGTGAGCTCGATGTCCACAATTCCTTTTCAACTTTTGGAAAGAAGCATCGTCTTCAGATGTCCCCCCAGGGAGAGGCTGCGATCATTAATAATGATCTGTACAATGACTGAGGCACGGGTGACTGCTTGAATTGAAAATGGAAGCGACGGATGACCCTGGTGAATCCAGTGGAAGAGGCCATTCAATTTCTAACAAATGAACACATGAGTGACGTGTTTTAAAAGACATGGACGAAGCAGGAAGAAAAAAGAAAAACAAAAAAATGAACAGTCCATTCTGGCATAAATGCTGGGATAACATAGAACCTAAAGGAATATTTATGAGCCACTGCACCATGCTATTATGCCATATAATAATAATTATTATCACTACTACCAGTAAATATACACGTTGCTGGTTCTCCTGCAGACCATAGCTGCCAGTGACACTTCATGCCAAGACTATGGAGGGGCTGCAGCATCAGCCAGGAAAGAACAGAACAGAACAATCATCTGTGTTTCACCTCTTCTATTCTGGAACACAGTGAAGACATGGACGTGACTCCACTATTATTATTATTATTATTATTATTATTATTATTATTTGAACAATCAAACTGGAGTGGGTAAAACGTGATCAGTAATCATGAACATACTTCTGATATTGTATTTTTGGGTTGAATGAGTTGTTTGATGATGAAGCTTGTGTGAACATGACACATTGTATCATAGTGTATATGCAAGCTGAAACTTAAAGCAAACAACTGTAAAAATAAAAAAAGGTGGAGGTGGGGGGGCCTCTAGCAAACAATGTACTGTATACAGTTATGATAATAAAGTATTTTTTTCCACATAGTCTTCATCATTTAAATAACATTTACAACTTGATAAGATACAACCAGCTGTTCAGTGAATTGTTCCATCTAGATGTTCGTTGGGTTTCTGTTTTTCTTTTTATTGCGGCCCTAATTATAGCTGTTAAAAGTTCGACCACTACAAAGGTTGGAAGCTTTTCTGAGCTGTTTCCTACGTTGAGAAATAAACACAGTAAAATGCTAACATATGCTAATTGGAGTGCTCCCATTTTCATTTGCCCGCAGAGAATAACGGGGGCTCATTATCTAAACAAACAGGGTCCTCTTTCTCGAAATATCACTTTAATTAAAACCACCAACATGAATACAAGCATTTGGGGACATGGAAGCTTCAAATGCCACACCTGGTCGTAAGCAAGAAAGCTAAGCAAGAAAGCCTGTGGTGTGTGTGTGTGTCTGTGCCCTTTTACTAGCTGCTTTTCAGGGAATAAGATTCCTCTGTGAAAGCTGGCCACTGGCCAGAAATGAGCGCTTTAATTAGGTCATTGTGTGGTTCACATTTAAAATAATTCACTTAATAAAGAGGTGGCTGTCCACGGAGGGCATGCGAGGGAGGTGGATCATCTTTGAGTTGCAAAGTATCCACAGGGACACACTGAATGAGGAGCTATATTTAGGGCGACTTGAACTATGATACTTTCAGATCTGTGGGGAACTTACTGTAGCTCTCTGTTCCTCCAAACAGAGCTGTAACACAGAGCGGCCCAGTCCTGTGACACAAAGAGTTGGAAACCTATTAATTTCAAAACGAATGATGATAGTAAAATATACTTTTTAAATATATTTACGTTACAATAAACACTGGCAGTAATGCCAATTCTAGATTTAAAAAAGTAATTTGTAAAGTAACAATAACCATTATAATTCAAATGATTATTATTAATAAAAATAATATAATAATTGTCATTATTGGAGTTGATATAATGATAATAATATCTACAATAATGATGTTAATAACGATAACAACCTCCATACATACTACAACAATACTGGCTGACGGCCACTGGGAGCTGTTCATTGATCTGGTGCTGAAATAGTTCCAGCCCCACGGAGAGGTTCAACTAACGTTTTTTCTCAGCCAGTTGTACTTACGCAATTTTCCCACAAGAGGGCAGAAATAGATATTTCCAAATGAAACCTTTTTAGCATTTAATTACATTCAACACTGTCTGACTGAAAAACATTACTTATAATATATAAGTAGAAATATGAATTAATAAACAATGTAAAATAAATAAAAAATGGTACATGTCTTACATAACGTTGTTTAAATGTGTCATTTATGAGAGGTGGAGTTTGTCGAAATCAATCTTACAGACTCAATGTATCGTTTTGTTTAGTTTAGTAACGAGTTTGCATTTAATACATATTAATTTGACAAATGGATGCAATTGAGTGGCCTGGAATACGCATTTTCAGTAGTAAACAATCAGTTCAGAATAAGTGATTAAATTAATATAATGGGTTTGAAATGACTAAATGTTCAAGATTAAAAATATCACATCCCACCTGTGTTATTTAAACATTTCAAATGTTGATATACCACACCTGACCACTTTGTGAATCTGGACAGAAACAATTATAGGAAAATAGAGAAACATTAATCACATTTAATCGGAAAACTTTGTTTGTTGTCAGTTTGGTCGTTACGGGATAAACAACAAGTCATGATTGATTAGCTGCCAAATAGAATGGATGTTGTGGGTGCTGTTCCTGTGTCCCCCGCTGGTGTCTTACCCATTTTGTCCAGAAGAGGGCAGCGTTGAATAAGAATAAGTGGTTGTGAGGTCATGCATCATAGTGGCCATGTTTGAAAGCACTTTAAATAAGTAAAATAGTTATGTGAGAATACATTTGTTTTCTATACACCGTGTCATATTATGTCCAAAATATTACTGTACGAATAAGATATTTCCAGAAGTTAGGTTTGGAGTCTTGTGATTGGGCAGTAGACAAGAGATGTGTGTAAAACACTGACATTGAGCCTTATTTCCCTTATTTTATACCCCGCCCTTTCTCTCTCTCCCCGTCCCATTATTTTTTTCACCCACCTCTCTCCTCAGCTTCCGATGCCAGCAGGTGAGCTTCATTTGCATAATCAGCAGGTGAGGGTTATTAGGCGAGCACCGAACCACACACGCCTTTCAAATTTGCATTTCGTGCCAATTTGCTCATGACTGCAGTCGCGGTCTGTCCATGTTCGACCGGTGTTTAGTCGGTAAGAATAGTTCGATTACTCTGTTCTGGCTGTCGGAGGGCGGTTTCTTCTTTTTTTGATTCTCTCTCCACTCTTTCTCTTTCTGGTTTTGACCTGCTCCGTGGGGACACGTGTTCTGAAGTTTTTACTGTTCACCGTTTCCTTTAGAACCTAAACACGTCTTCGCCCCGGAGAAACTTTCCACTGTTCTCCTTGCGTTGTTCCCACGGGCAAAGCCTGGGAGGTAACACCTTAACTACAACATTACATCAACAAAAAGTTCAGGGAAGAGATTTCCACGGACTTAAATAGATGATGTAGTTCTCTCAGAGACCATTACATCAACAAAAAGTTCAGGGAAGCGATTTCCACGGACTTAAATAGATGATAGTTCTCTCAGAGACTCCGACAGGCTTGTTCTGCCCAAGCTCTCTCCGCTGAAATAATCTCATAAATATTTGGTTTTTCAATATTCTAATATTTATTTTGTCTCACGATTTAATGTCTGTGTAAAATGCTATCAAAGCTAAAACATTTATATGAAAAGAAAGCACAGAAATATTTTAGGTCTCTAACGGGGAGAGTACATTTACTGTTTTTTTTTTTTTTAGATTATTTTATTATATTTACTTGACATTTTAATTCATCTAAAGCGGGGCAGTTTTTTCAGTTTTTTTCTTTAGGCAGTCTCGGTCTCTTGGTGTCACTGTTCAGTAGTAAATCAGACCGCTCCCTTCCAGTGTTGACACACCCAGTCGTACGTCCGCAGCTCTGGACGATATGCAGTTTCATTTTATTCCTTTTTCCATTGGAAACCTTGTGGTTCAATACGTGATCAGACGCTAGAAAAGAACAACAAATATAATTTCTGGAGGTACATCCGTTTTCCCTGCCGATGAAAGAATGGTGGTTCTCACCGTTGTCTTTGTCCTGTGTACGGTGTGGCCCGGAGCTTTGTCTGTGACACGGTACTCCATAGCCGAGGAGATGGAGAGGGGCTCAGTGGTGGCCAATCTTGCTGCGGATTTAGGACTTGAACCTGGAAGTTTGGCTCAACGAGAGGTAAAACTCGATATTTTTACCAACAAGAAGTATTTGGATTTTAACAAAAAGACCGGGGAGCTTTATATAGTAGAAAAGATGGACAGGGAATATATCTGTCCGGCAAAGCCGACGAACTGCTTTGTTAAGATTGACGTAATCATTGAAAACCCTTTACGTATCTTTAACATTGAGCTTGGAATAACAGATATAAACGACAACGCTCCCCATTTCCGTCGGGACAGAGTAGAGCTGGACGTTTCCGAATCCGCAACGCCAGGGGAGAGGTTCTCTCTGCCTAACGCTGTGGATCCAGACGTTGGAATCAACACGATAAAAACATACAAACTGAGCGACAGTGAACATTTCACCATCGAAATTCAGACAGGCAGTGATGGCACTCAGTATGTGGATTTGGTACTGACCAAGTCTTTGGACAGAGAGGAGGAATCGGTTCATAACTTGATACTGACTGCCGTAGATGGTGGCGTCCCTGTGCGCTCTGGTACAGCTAATATAATTGTCAAGGTACAAGACACAAACGACAATTCTCCTCGCTTCGATAAATCGACTTACACGATAAACATGACAGAAAACTCTCCCATCGGAAGCTTAGTGATGAAGCTGAATGCCACAGATCTGGACGAGGGCGAGAATTCAGAAATCGTCTATGCTTTCACGCTCTACACGTCAGAGAAAACCCAAGGTGTCTTTGCTCTGAATCCCAACACAGGAGAGATAACAGTGAAGGGTACGGTTGACTATGAGGACATGAAATTCTATGAGATGCATATTGAAGCCAGAGACAAAGGGACGCATCCTCTGCAGGGACAGTGCAAAGTAGTTGTTCACGTAATTGACATGAATGACAATTATCCAGATATCACCATACAGTCTGTTAAAAACACGGTGAGTGAGAACATACCTGTGGGGAGTGTGATTGCTGTGGTAGGGGTGAGTGACAGAGACAGTGGTGACAATGGAAAAGTCATCTTATCCATTCACCAGACTGTACCCTTCATTCTGAACCAGTCATTAGAAAGACCCCTTCATTATCAACTCATAGTCTCAGAACCTCTGGACCGTGAATCTGTTCCTGAATATGAAATAACTCTAGTTGCGACAGACAACGGAACTCCATTCTTATCTGATAACCAAACTATAGTTGTTCATTTGCTGGATATTAATGACAACGCTCCTCAGTTTCCTCAGTCATTTTATAAAATTCGTGTCATGGAGAACAACGCACCTATGGCTCTGCTCAGTTCACTGACAGCCTTTGACCCTGACCTCCATGAAAACCAGTATCTGGTTTACTTCATCATAGAGAAGGAGATAGCCAACACCTCCATGTCCATGCTGTTCTCCATCAATCCAGAGAATGGTGATCTGTACGCTCTGAAAACCTTTGATTATGAGATTGAGAAGGAGTTTCTTTTCCACATTGAGGCCAGAGACTCTGGCTCTCCTCCACTCAGCAGTAATGTGACTGTACACATCATCATAGTGGACCAGAACGACAATGCTCCAGTTATTGTGTCTCCGTGGCGTGCACATGGCTCTGTGGTGGAGGAAAAGATTCCCAGATCCACTGATAAAGGTTCTCTGGTGGCCAAAGTGATCGCTTTAGACACAGACTCTGTGCACAACTCTAGGATTACCTACCAGTTCCTACAGGTGACTGATGCCACCTTGTTCAGTCTGGACCAGTACAATGGGGAGATCCGGACCATGAGGATGTTCAGTTACAGAGATCCACGTCATCTGAGACTGGTGGTCGTTGCCAAGGACAACGGGGAGCCTGCTCTGTCTGCTACAGTCACCATCAAGCTGTCCACAGTGGAGACTGCAGTTAAGGCCTACACTGACATGACTGAGGTTCCTCTGGAGTATGACCTCTTCTCAGACCTGAACCTGTACTTGGTCATTGGTCTGGGCTCTGTGTCATTTCTCCTTCTCATCACCATTCTGGTCACCATTGTGCTCAAGTGTCAGAAACCTAAGAGCAGCCAAACAGCTCCTCCCAGCAGGAACAGTGTGATCAGTGAGAGGAACTCCACCATCGCAGATTCCACTCTGGTCTCCAACGATGCCTACTGGTACAGTCTGTTTCTGGCAGAGACCAGGAAAGGAAAGCTGGTGGTGAGACAGCCTGTGCCGAAGGGCTCCAGATACATTGTGTCCAGTATCCCGAGAGGAACAGGAGTGACAAATACTAGTGCCTCAGCTGCCTCTACTCTGCAGGTAAGAGTGAATACATTTTTATTCACCTTCATTTTAAAACATTTTAGTTTAATCATTGTTTTAATTTCTATTTCTTATGTCTTATGAATGAAGTCATAGTTAGATTGTTTAAGCCTGAGGTGTTATTTGCTCCTATTATTCAATTTCTTGTCACTGTGCTGAGTTTTGAATCACGGCGCTAGTCAAGGCTGATATTCTGTTTATTACCCGAGGGGTGGCGCTGTTGTGTTATTGAAAACAGTGTATCAACGGCACTACACCATTGTCGTCATAGAGTCTTTGATTTCATCGGACAGCTCCCTGGTGCTGAAACGCCGTTTCGGGAAAAAGGCTCAAAATGAGTCTGTGAAACGGGATTAAACCGTCAGATTGTGGGGAATCTTTCAAGGATACAGAGACGACGTAAATCTTTTGTGGAAACGTAGAGGTTCAACAACTGAATTAAAGGAAACAGCGAAATCAACGCGATTTTTTGTAACGATGGCTTCATGCAGAAGGTACGTGCTGCTTGTAGCTCTCATTTTTTCTTTTATTCCTAACATATGGTCCTCGATGCCTCATTATTCGATACCAGAGGAAATGAAAGAAGGTTCAGTTGTAGCGAACTTTGCTACCGATCTCGGACTGGATGTAGAAACGTTGACTCAGAGAAAGATGCGGGTAGACATCATCGCTAACAAAAAATATCTGGACGTGAACAAAGAGACTGGTGACCTGTACATTGTTGAGAAGATTGACCGAGAATATATTTGTTCTGCTGCAAAATCTACTTGCTATCTCAGGTTGGAGGTGACACTAGAAAACCCTGTGCGTATTTTTAACACAGAAATAGAAATTCTAGATATAAATGACAACGCCCCTCAATTTCGCAGAGACATTATACACTTAGACATATCAGAAGCCGCACCGAAAGGAGAGAGATTTTCTCTCAGTAATGCGGTTGATCCTGATGTAGGAAGTAACTCAGTGAAAACATATTATCTGGGGGAAAGTGAATATTTTAATATTGAAGTCCAGACAGGAAGGGATGGGTCAAAGTTTGCAGAATTGATTTTAAAAACACCTCTTAACAGAGAACAGCAGGCTCTCCATGATTTAGTGCTGACGGCTGTAGATGGAGGCTCGCCCCCTCGTTCAGGAACTGCCAGTGTTATTGTCCGTGTATTAGATACAAACGACAATGCACCAGTATTTGAAGAAACGTTATTAAATGT